AAAAAAAAAAAAAAGAAAAAGTTGAGTCCTAATGTGAGTTTATTGCAGACGCCAATTTACTGTTGGAAATACTAGAGGCAAAACGTGCAAGACTTGGAATGTGTGAAGCCTCTGTGATGTGCCTAATAATAATCTTGTCCATTTTGAGCAGGAAAAAAAATCAAGGTGTACTGAAGAAAATGAGCCTTGCCCCAAAGGAGATAGAAGTTGGGGAAGATGAGATGTGAGAAGATAAGGACAATGGCAGTAGAGACGAGGTAATTATATGTACTGCGTTGAGCAGAGTAGCATTTATTATTAATGTCAACAATCAAAATCCACAGTAAAGCAGTTAAACTGCATTGTTTAATCTCAAAAGTTGGCTAGGATGGGTAGCTCTTGCCTGTAATCCCAGCACTTTGGGAGGTGGAGTAGGGTGGGCTGCTTGAGCCCAGGAGTTTGAGACCAGCCTGGGCAACATGGCGAAACCTGTTTCTGCTAAAAATGTAGAAATTAGCTAGACATGGTGTCTCCCACCTCTAGTCCCAGCTACTCAGGAGGCTGAGGCAGGAGAATCACTTGAACCTGGGAGGTGGAGGTTATGGTGAGCAAAGATCGTGCCACTGCATTCCGGCCTGGGAGACAGAGTTTGTCTCAAAGGAAAAAACACAAACCTCAAAAGTGATACTGCAAACACTGTTCAACTAGTTTTACAACTTCACACTAAACTGAATATCAAACTCTGACCAGCTCATTTTGAGAAAAGGAAATCACAGACTACTCTCTCTCTAATGAGCATAGATACAAAAATTCCAGAAATACTAGCAAATTGAATATCAACGTTATGCAAACAGCAGTACATCATAATGCATCGTGGCCAAGTGTGGGTTATTTGGGGAATGCTGAGGTGTTTTATGTTTGTAAAGTGATACGGGTTGTTTGGAAATACTGGTTTAAAAGAAAATCTCGGCTGGGCATGGTGGCTCACACCTGTAGTCCCAGCACTTTTGGGAGGCTGAAGTGGGCTGATCATGAGGTCAGGAATTGGAGATCGGCCTGGCCAACATGGTGAAACCCCGTCTCTACTAAAAATACAAAACTTAGCCAGGTGTGGTGGCACGTGCTTGTAATCCCAGCTACTTGGGAGGCTGAGGCAGGAGAATCGCTTGAACCCCGGAGGCAGAGGTTGCAGTGAGCCAAGATCGAGCCACTGCACCTCAGTCTGGTGACAGAACGAGACTCCATTTCAAAGAAAAAAGGAAATGTCTTCATTCTTTAAACTGATTCATTAAAATCCATTCATTTACGGCCCAGCAGGGTGGTGCTTTGCCTCGGCCATACCTGGCTGTTTTAAATTAAAAAAAAAAAAATCAAATCAATTACTTTGTGTACCTGCCAAACATGTTTTCACATTTCTTCTTTTGGCAAATATTGAAGTCCCTACTAGGCTCTACTTTTGAGAGCCTCTCCTTTGGAATTTGAAAATAGGCAGGTTTAAGTTGAGTCCTGACAGAATTAAGGTGGGCTAGTGGGTACACAGCTAATGAATATGGAATGCTTCATATGTGCAGCCATTGTACAAGTGCTTTATGCCAGGGGTCCCCAAACACTGGGCCACAGAACTGTGCTGTTCTATGGGCTGTTAGGAACCAGGCCGCACAGTGGGAGGTAAGCAGTGGGCAAGTGAGGTAAGCATCTGTATTTCCAGTGGCCTTCCCCTCACTTGCATCACTGCCCGAGCTCCGCCTCCTCTCAGATCAGCTGCAGCATTAGGTTAGAGTCTCGTAGGAGCACAGACCCATTTGTGAACTGTGCATGTGAGGAATCTAGGTTGCATGCTCCTTATGAGAATCTAGTGCCTGATGATTTGTCACTGTCACCCATCACCCCCAGATAGGACTGTCTAGTTGCAGGAAAGCAAGCTCAGGGCACCCACTGATTCTATGTTATGGTGAGTTGGTATAATTACTTTACGTATTATATATTACAGTGTAATAACAGAAATAAGGTGCTCAATAAATGTAATGTCCTTGAATCATCCCTCTGTCCTCCCACCGGCTGTATGAAAAATGGTCAGCCACAAAACTGGTCCTTGGTGCCAAAAAGGTTGGAGACCACTGCTTTATACATTGTTTCATTTCATCCTCATAGTGAGCAGGTTAGGTAGGCATCATTAGCTCCATTTTTTAGACAAGAAAGCAGATTTAGCCATTAACCAGCTTGTTCATGTTTCCAGAACTAATAAGTGACAGAGCCAGGGTTATACATGGGTCTGCTGAATCCAAACCCCCTGTACTTTCCCTGTTCATTTCTCAGTCGCCTCCCAAGCAGCTTGTTCTGAGAGGCAGGTAGCATTTGTTGTCCACTTTGAGCACCTGGTTGTGTGATAGAAACTTTCTTCAACCCTCTTCTGCCTAGCAGTGGTTTTAATTAAAAGTAAAAGTGGGTTTTGGGTGCCCTTGTCATACACACTTCGTGGGGATGATAGGTCTGTTGATTTACTTGACTGTAGTAACCATTTTGCCATGAGTATATTAAAACATGTTATATACAATTTTTAAAAAAGTAAAAGTAATAGGCCGGGCGCGGTGGCTCAAGCCTGTAATCCCAGCACTGTGGGAGGCCGAGGCGGGTGGATCACGAGGTCAAGAGCTCGAGACCATCCTGGTCAACATGGTGAAACCCCGTCTCTACTAAAAATACAAAAAAAAAAATTAGCTGGGCATGGTGGCGCGTGCCTGTAATCCCAGCGACTCAGGAGGCTGAGGCAGGAGAATTGCCTGAACCCGGGAGGCGGAGGTTGCGGTGAGCCGAGATCGCGCCATTGCACTCCAGCCTGGGTAACAAGAGTGAAACTCTGTCTCAAAAAAAAAAAAAAGTAAAAGTAGGGAAATGATGAAAATTATCCATCCATACCTTTTGATTTTAATTTAAGACATTTTATGTATTCATTGGCCAGTATTTTGATGTGGGACCAAGGTCTTATCTTTTGAGTTCACGGCTGGCATAGCCTATCTTCCCTGCATAAAGTACACACATAATGCGTCTTCAGTAACGTAAAGTTTGTTTCTTTAGAGCAAAGGAAAACTCTTATCACCCTAGTAAAGCAATTTGAATACAGATTCCCACAGTTTTGCAGCTTTTCCCATTCTTTTATGGTTGCTCATGCACACTTAATTTGATTGCAGTTTTTAAGCTTTATCAAGTACTTCCAAAGCATTTAAGTTTGTTTTCATAGACTCAATAACTTTTTGCATTTATTATTTTATTTTATTTTTTGAGATGGAGTCTCACTCTTATTGCCGAGGCCGCAGTGCAATGGTGCAAAATTGGCTCACTACAACCTCCGCCTCCCGAATTCAAGTAATTCTGCTGCCTCACCCTCCCAAGTAGCTGGGACTACAGGCATGCACCACCACGCCTGGCTAATTTTGTATTTTTAGTAGAGATGGAGTTTCACCATGTTGGTCAGGCTGGTCTTGAACTCCCAACTTCATATGATCCACCCACCTTGGCCTCCCAAAGTGTTGGGATTACAAGTGTGAGCCATCAGGCCTGGCCCTTTTTGCATTGATTTTATTGGTTTATATGATGTTTAGTTAACACTACAGCTGAAACTGCAAATACTATGGTCACATACAGTTCAGCAAACACAGTGGGTTCTTATTAAAGATACAGTTCAGCTCACAGGAATAGAAACGCTCAGTTAGTAGGAGTTACCACAGAGTGGCCCACTCATGCTTGGCATTTCATGAGCATCAAGTTATTATAGTAAGACCTATTTGGAATTGAGACAGTCATTTAATCCAGCCAGTTGGTTAAGCTGACATAGATAAGAGAGCATTCACTGTACCAGTTGAGTATCCCTTACCTGAAATGCTTGGGACCAGAAGTGTTTTAGATTTCAGATTTTTTGGATTTTGGCATATTTGCAGATACATAATGAGATATCTTGGGGATGACACTCAAGTCTAAACACAAAATTCATTTATGTTTCATATACACTTTATACACATAGCCTATAGGTAGTTTTATTTTTTCCTCTGGTGCACTGAATAAGCTGTTTTGCACTTGCATTTTGGCACTGACCCATCACACAAGTGAGAATTGGGGCTCTAATTAGATGAATAATTGCTGTATATTCTCCCGGTGCAATAGCATCCATACTCGTAGAAATTGGGATGCTTGGTGGCTCACGCCTGTAATCCCAGCACTTTGGGAGGCCAAGGCAGGTGGATCACCTGAGGTCTGGAGTTTGAGACCAGCCTGACCAACATGGAGAAACTCCATCTCTACTAAAAATACAAAATTAGCCGGACGTGGTGGCGCATACCTGTAATCCCAGTTACTTGGAAGGCTGAGGCAGG